CGCGAAGCCGTACACTGTTGCACGCAGCCATGAAGCCAAGGCAAGAGAGAAGATCCAGCAACTGATCACCACTGACGTGCTGGAGCAGATCTACGACAGTGAAGTCGCGGCGCCTGCTTTCTTCTTGGTTAAGCCGGACGGATCTTTGAGATTGCTGGCTGACTACCGATGGCTGAACAAATTCCTTCGACGAAGCCCGTATTACGTGCCGCGTATACGAGAGGTACTAATGCGACTCTCTATAGCAAAATGTATTTCGACATTCGACGCTAATCTTGGATACTACGCACGGCGACTTGCAAGCAAAAGTCGCCCATTTACGGCATTTTGTTTGCCATGGTGCAAGTTCCAGTATAAGCGTCTTCCGATGGGGATCTCTACTGCTCCCGATGAATACCAGGCCTGTATGGAGAGAATCTTTGGTGATTTGGAATTTGTCGTGGTTTACTTAGACGGCATCCTGGTGTTTTCCGCCAGTGCAGAAGAACATCTTGAGCACCTGCGTATTGTGTTCAAGCGCTTGGATACGTTCGGTGTCTAGCTCAACGGCAAGAAGTGTCATGTACTCCGCAAGGAGGTCGACTACCTAGGATACACGCTCTCGGCTGAAGGCGTAAGGCCACAGGCCAAAACGATTCAGGCAATACAGCGAATTGCCGTACCAAGTAACAGGAAAGAGCTCCGCCGCTTTCTCGGCATGATAAACTACTACAGGGACATGGTGCCCAATAAGACAACGCTCTGCAAGCCCCTGCACCGGCTCACAAGCTCCAAGTGCCCTTTACGTGGCTGTCCAGTGATACGGAGGCTTTCCGAGCTATCCAGCGTGCTTTTGCGGAGGCGGTGCTGCTGTCGTTTCGTGATTTCGAGAAGCCGTTTGACGTCTACGCCGACGCTAGCGGTACGCAGCTCGGTGGACTGATAATGCAAGGCGTTAAGATTCTCGCGTGCTATTCTCGTAGCCTGAACAAGCATCAGCTGAACTACACTACCATGGAGTTGGAGTTGCTTTCCGTGGTCGAACTACTGAAAGAATACCGCACGATGCTTCTTGGTTTCCCAGTTGTGGTACATACGGACCACAAGAATTTAATCTTCCCGACCGAAACAAGCCTGCGGGTCAAGAGATGGAAGTTACTACTCTCAGAATACCGGATGACAATGCATTACATTAAGGGCGTGAAAAATGTTGGGGCCGACGCCTTCTCAAGGATGCGATTTGCTATAAGCAATGACGCGGCATTGATCGACGAAATCTACGCTACTAACGAGCGAACAGAATGCGTGATGGACGAACCAGTCATCTGCGAACACCAGGAGGTCGATGATATGGTGCAAAAGGTCAAAGCCGCGTGCCTCGCAGGCACGAATAATCCTGATTACCAGCTAATTCGCCTATTAGGATGCACTCTGGTGGCGTACCAGAAGCGTGTGATCGCTCCAGATAGCCTTCGTGACGATCTGATAGCTTGGTATCACCGGAATCTCGGACATCCTGCAGGCGAGCGCCAGTTCAAGACCATGCGCCACACGCTCTACTGGCCTAATATCGAGACTAGCATCGTCAAGTTTGTTAAGAAGTGTACAGCCTGCAAGCGTGCCAAGTTACATGGTGGAAAGCAAGACTTTGGTCTTTTACCGCCTCGCAGTATGAGAACGGTGAACCCATTTGACGTTGTGCATGTTGATTTGATTGGTCCGTACGATGGTGGCAGCTATGGAATTACGATAGTTGATCAAGCGACCAGATGGCACGAAGTCGGTGTCCAACAGGACAAGTGGACGCTCACGACGGCGGAGAGTTTCGACCGCGAGTGGCTGTGCCGCTATCCGCGACCACGTACTGTAATTCATGACCAAGGATCAGAGTTCATGGGCGAGGAATTTCAGGAGCTGCTACGGAGCTACGGTATCAAGGCCAAGCCAATTACGACGAAGAACCCCCAGGCTAACGCGATATGTGAACGCGTCCACCTGGGAATTCTCAATGTGATCCGATGTCACGAGGGCGTCGACTGGAAAAGTTATTTACTACGCAGCATTCGCTGTCAGGGCTAGCTACCACAGCATTCTCAACGCGTCTCCGGGGCAATTAATTTTTGGCCAAGATATGATTTCGCGCCAATTGCATGACGCAAATTGGAGCTACATGTCCAAGCGCAGGTTCGAAGCTATTCTAGCTGATAATGATCGCGAAAAAGCCAAAAGAATTGAGCATTTCTACCAGCCAGGAGACCAAGTGATGATCCGCGTCCACAAGCTGTTCCGTGTAAAGACCAAGCGCATCGCCGATGGGCCGTTTCCTATCCCGACGGTCCATGACAATGGCACCGTCACTGTCGACAAGGGAGCTTCGCAGCAACAGATTAGTATACGCCGTATTTTTCCGTGTTGACTATTATTGCTTCATGGGGGGAGCATGACACGCCTGCGTGTGCGTGGATGAATCCTGCGAAGGAATCTCCAATAATTTATTGACCAGATTGATGGAGATTGAAGGATGGAGACGTAGGATGAAGCAAGTTCTAGTGCATAGACAAGGTAGCCTTTTTAATTCATTCTCACATTTACGGCAAGTAAACCCTTCACGTTTGCTTGAACGACCAGCAAGCCCGGCTTGCAGACACTCTTCCTGCAAGAGAGCTCAGATCTCTTCGGGGCTGAACCCTGTTGCCCTCTACCTCCTCGAGCCACAACAGAACTCCGTTGTACCCCAGTAGGCGCGGGGTGGCCTACGGGGACCACCCCGCGTCAACTAGGTGTTGCCGTTTCCCGGCGATGACTCGGAGGATTAACCGACTCAGGAGCGGGATTGACTACAAGTGCTATCCAAGTGCAACGGGGCTGCCGTAGCTTTAGCGTCAGAGGAAGACGTTCGACTCAAAGAGTCACTAATACTATGTTCTTTATCCAAAGGAACTTACAGCCCAAGACCAGGGCTAAGAAAAATACCTTAACTTTTAAGCTTCAAAACCAGAAGTATTTATTTAGTATTATTGCAGCAAAGCCGCCTAGGGGTAAATGTATATGTTTAACTATCTAGCATAGTTAAACCCAATCAAATGCATAACGTGTGGCTTTTAGCCAACGTACTGAGAGACCATGTTAGCTCGCCAATTTATGTACTGAGAGTTTGTTAACTCTCCGGGTACTCCGTACCACTGTGGGATCACCCCATTACAAGGTCAATCAAGTCTCGAAGGCCTTGGCGTGTCTCCTTTTAATATAATATATAACAAATAGATCAAAAGCGATAAAAGCAATGTATCACGTATGACACGATATTGAATAGTGCCGTTTTTTTTCTGGATAAACACTTTGTATCTATAGCCGGGGCTTGTGATATTACAAGCCCCGGGCTTATACATGCAATACCGCTTTACCGGTAGCAGTTGTAGCGCTTTAATTACCTCAAATATTTGTTAAATATCACCCATAAATGCGATTGAGTCGAGCTTGAGCGTCACGGTGAAATGCTATATCCCTTTTTCGTACCGCAAATATGCACTGATACAAGTCATGCCGCTATAACTAGCCTATAATTCGAAATCTTTACGCTAAGTCGAATTCGATGTCGGTGATATCCATGCCGCTGCATTCATCGGCAAGGATAAAGTGGGAGACCTCGTCCACAATCTCTTGGGACTCTTCTCCAGCAAAGAGGTGGCGAAACTCAGGGCCGTACAGCTCATGACGAGCAAGAGCAAGCTCCGCGTCATCACCCAGAAAGCAACTGAGAAACCTGCGACGGTTTGACGGCGGCACTCCGCTTCTTCGTACCGACGGTAAAGCTGCGCATGGTAAATGCGAGAATGACGCCAGAGTGCAAAAAAGTTCGCCAGATTGATGTTCATCAGGCCAGAATTCTAGAACAACAGGCCTTACATAACCAACGAGGGCTCCAATAGAAGGGAAGGGGGTGGTGGAAAATGTCTCAAACGGGGATTCAAATACAAGGGTGGTTATAATACAGAGATGGGCTTGTAATTCAGCTTATACAGTAATATTGGCTCTAATATGTCCCACAGGTGTTGACATTGATTCGCTATAATACAAGCCGTTGAGTGTCATGTTTGTGAGTCACTGACATGGGGCCTCTCTCTTTAGCACCTGCCAGCTCTGAACCCTCGTCGTACATCTGAACCCTCGTCGTACATTACTGAATGCACAATTCGCTGTAAGTTTTACTACTTCGTTTCTGCAAGGAAACTGTCCGTCCAGGACCTGGCTACAAATTCTATTGCGACATAATTAACGATTGGTGTACAAGCACTGCGATTCTTTGTTTGGGGTAACTTTCTGGGTCGTTTACCTGGACGTTCTAGATTTCGTAAGAATAGTCTTCTAACCATACCGGTAGACCGGTACTAACTTTAAAGACATGGACCTTACAGCTGTTTGTTGTGTAGTTTGGACACCATACAAGATCTTAGGGCGGGGTACGCGCATTGTTCGACATGCCAGTGAGGCATTTCTCTGACCAGCAACGTGGTCCATGTCCGTTCAGAAAGAAAAACTTTCTAGGCATCCACTACCAAACCGAAGCTCGAGAAAGCGACCATTCACCGATGGTACACGTAGTGGCATGCCGCTTCCTGCGTCTCGCCTGTAGTGAGGAAGACCACCCGCTCTTCCGCCGCGAGTACGCTAGGTACGAATGAGTCCTTCCTTCAACACAAGTCTATTCCAAAATAAGCTGACTCATTAGGAGGGCAACTTTTGACACAGGAACAACCGCGAGCGAGGCGTCAAGGTGCGTATATTGGCCAGATAACTCAGCCGAGACGCGGTGTTTTCGTTGATATGACGGTAATTCTCACTCTTCCATCTTTAGCTGCTGCGGTGCTTCCCACACTGCTGCCCAGAGCACGCGAGACGCAGCTACTGCGGCTGCTCCGTGCACGTGCTCGTCACATTTTCAGTAGCTATTCCACCACCAGATATAGTCCTGGTCTGCGCGCGCTTCGAGCCCACACGTGTGGCTCCTCTATGGCCTGCTGGCTTAGCCGATTTAGCTCGTACCGTGGGTGCTACAGGAGGCAGACAGGAAAACAAATGTAGACTGGAAATTGGGGAAAGAGCGGCGCTGCCCGAGAGTTTGTTTGGGTCAGCAGCTAGAGCTGCCTCGGACGATGGCGAGTGGATACTCGCTGAAAGGGAAAGTACCACGAATCAACAAACTGTTTCTCAGGTATGGTCTAGAAATTTGGAACACTTTCAGTTAATTGACATTTATCTTGTGTGTGAAAAAAAAAAAGAATTCCATCTTGTATGCTCTTAACAACCGCGTATCGCCAAAGTGGTTTTACAGTTACGACAGTAGCGTGACGAGAACTCAGCGCGAGATGACGCATCACCTGGTCGCGTACGTTTTTCAAGTCCTTCCAGGTCGTGTCCCGATGACGCAGCAGAGTCAGCAAGCTGATAACGTCGTTGTGCTCGCAAGACACGCGTCGCCCGGCTTCTTGCTCGTGTCGTACCGGCGATCAGGCGGTTCGTCTGGACATCCTGGCTGTCCGTTTCCCGCGATCGACGCGCCTGCTGATACCACGGAAGTATCGTCATCACAGCTTTTATCGGCATCGTGGAAAGTGCAAGCGCACCAACAGCAGCATCTTCAACAGCAACAATGGCTACAACAACAGCGCTTGCAACAGCGCCTTCAGAATCTGAATCAGATGGAGCACGAGACCAGGCAAAGACAGCAACAAGGACGTCTCCGGTCGGCACAGACTGCTCTTTCTGCTGGCTCTGCTTCGTTTGCTCGGGAACTTAACATCCCGACGACTCGAGACGACAACCAGAGTCGTGATGTAACCACCCCAAGACCAGTCGTCGGAGACGTGGACTTGTGGCAGCAGGAAGCCGAAGCGACCGCTCCGGGCTTTCGGGAGAAGGAGCAGCAGCTTTTAATTCTCTATTATTTCCTAGAGCACGTCACCTTGAACGATTTAAATGTCGGTGCTGAGTCAGTGGGGGTGCATACACGTCCACATTGGCTACGTGCTGCTGCGGCGTTGCGCGCGCCGGCGTTTGTATCAATCGCCCAACTTGAAGGCGTCGTCGCCTCTTTCTTGAGAAATATTTTCGAAGCGACACCGAGGCTAAGCCACGCATACAGTTGCGAACACGCTACGATTCGGGTGTGTGGGTATCTCTTTATACGAGCACTGTGGTCTCGAGCGGTGCAGCAGTGTGTTCGCGCTGTCTTTCGAGCTGAAGACACAAGAACGAGCCAACGGATGCTGCGTGAGAAGTTCGTGGCATTTATTGTAGACCTGTGGGAGATTCTGAGTGGCATTCTGCGGGAAGTGGTGGCAGCAAAAGATGATGACGCATTGTGTCTTAATCAGGCCCATACGCTACCTGCGCTTGTGGACGACGTCATGTCGATTGTGTATAGACAGAGCCGCTTTGGTGAGACCCGAGCAAAGATCTCTGCGCTATTACTCGATCTACGGACGCCCAGCTCCTTAACTGGCGCAGTAAACAGAGCTTTCCGAGTGTTTACGGCACAGTTCCAAGATGTAGTGGGCCTTCGCCAGCAACTAACACGTGGCTCTAGTAACCAGACGGAGCGTCAATGGTGTCGTCGTTGGCTCTTAGAGCCTGGCTCTTTGCAAGTTGTGGAGGTGGCATCAGGAGCAAGTTTCTCGAGTTCTCTGCTGAGTTTGGCGCAGCTGGTCCGCGAGTTAGGCTGCGTTGACGTTAAAGTAGCCCAAGGCGCAATGGCATTGCAAGCGGCTGTTGCACTTCTGACGACTGCACCTATGGAATTGCTGCTAGATGGGAGACTTCGCGTGTTTCGAGCGCTGCCTAGTGGGACCTCATCGAGATTACCAATCGGAGGATGGTCAGTTGGTGATTACTGCGCCACGCTCTCTCATAACGGCCTATCCATCGACGTGCATTTCTTCGCTTTCGACGAACGTGGTGGCAACAGTGGAGTAAGTTCGAAGATGAACGTTCGCCGAGTCAGTCTCTCTTTAGCGCTGGATGATACGGAGACGAGGGACCAGTTCATTATTGTTCAAGGAAATGTGTGCAGACCGAAGGACGATGGGCAAGAGGATCGTGTTGGTGGCTTGAACATGTCGAACTCCGATCGAGCAATGTTGTGGAATCAGTTGGACTGGACGCCGATTCTCGAAATTCAGGCGGGCTACGTCGCTTTATGACGCCGAGCTTTTATAATTTGTATTGCTTTAAAATCTAAAGGGGCTTTTTAACCCCTTGGGACCCGTGGCCTGGACCGTACATGTTACGTGAAAAATCTTAACGTGGACCGTACAAGTTAGATAATATTGTACTTAGTTTTTGTATGCGCAAATACAAACTTCATGTCAACAAGGGGTAGCTAATTATCCACACTTCCTGCAGAATCGACATAAATATGCGCTTAAGAAAAGCCAAATTTTCAAAAGAAAGTACACAACAGATCAAACTTGCAAATTGCATATGTATTACGAAAGGAAAAGACTGGTCGCCACTCAATTTTCTCTCATTTGAAGATTCGCCGCGAAGCACGCAGAACTCACGCCGTCGCCGGTAATGGCGTTCCGGGCGAGGTGGCGGGAGCTCAAGAAAGGTGGCTGGCACTCGAAGAAACCGGCAGGCCTGTCGGTGGACTTCACTTATCTAAAGCCGAGCAAGACGAAGAAGGATATCCGGGGCGAGGACAATTTCGTCGGAGAAGAGGAGTTGATGACGTACCTGGACAAAATGGACATTGGTAGGCAAATGCAAGTGGTGTACATTTTTGATTTATTCTAACGCTGATGTGAGATTAGCTGCACTAGAGGCAAAGAAGACAGCGAGGCGAGAAGGGTCTGCGAATGCACAGAGAGCTGCATAGAAGCGCGCAGCAGAAGCCATTGCGACCACAAACGACGGTAACTATCATGTATTCGACAAGTTTTGAGATTAACTAATCGTGTATGTTGGTATTATCATGTACAACAACAGCACTGCGAACACCGCCACCAGAGGTGCAGGCTCCACAAGAAGCGTCTGCAGTAGTTCTGGCATCGCCACACATGACCATTTCTGATGCCACAGCTGGTTCGTGCACGTCAGGTTGCTGCTTGCCTTTGGTTCTGCTGGCCTGACCGTGAATATACTGTTGTAGATCCGTCACCTGAAAGGCAACGTAACCTTGCATCGGAGTTTGACGATATAGACAGCGGTAGTGAGCCATCGCATGACGCAGCAGAAGACGCCCAGGACTCAGAAGGTGATGATTTCACACCTGCAGTAAGCGCGGATGAAGAGTCAAACGGAGGCTCAGGAATTTGTGATGTCTCTACTGGAGGTTGGTCAAAGCTGTACATACACGTTTGAAAATTTATATAACTTGTATATTCAATGCTAGGTGTTCTTGCAGACGCTAATCTCGTCGAAGCTTCCGACGACCCCGGGTGTTTGTAACCTTCGATTCTGATGCAGAAAACGACGATGGAGATGATGAGAGTGAGGATCATCTTGAGGATATTTCCGGGGCTGATATTCAATTATTCGGTCCTCCCCAGCTACGTTTTGACGGTGATTTGGTATCTGCTGTCGGTTGTATGGCGAATATCGCATCGGGCTCCTTGTCAGACACATTTCTGAAGATGATGGCGGACACAGGATGGTCCGACGTAGCGACCACAACACCATACGAATACTTGCAGCAACCGTATGAGCCTCGCCCTGCTACCGCTATGTATGATGACTATCCCAACCTGTACAAAGGAGCTTCAGGGCCCACCGACAAGACAATTCGAGCTGCAGCTACCCCATCCGGTGCCTTCTTCTATTTCATGCAGCCAGATCTCTGGGAATCTATCGCTGAGGAGACAAACACGTACTTCAGAGAGCATATTGACGAAAGAGTGGATGGTCTACATGCCAAACAAGTTGTTCGTGAGCGGAAGAATACTGGCTACAAATCAAAGAGCAAAGAAAAGCTACGGAACGAGTTGGAGAATTCCGCGGACATTACGCCCCGAGAGCTTTGTGTATTTTTGGGTTTATTGATTGCAAGATCAATTGCTCCCAACAAGGAGAAATTGACGCATCACTGGAGGACTACGGACGAGGGGGCAATTCCACGAGGGTGTTTTGGTTTTTTCATGGCTCGAAATCGCTTCATGCATCTCTCGAGGAACCTTCATTTTAGCCGAAACGGGGGCGAACGCGCTGCAACAGATAGGGCGTGGAAACTACGGCCGGTTATTGACGCTCTGCAGAACCGCTTCGCAGCAGGATACACGCCTCCATCAATCATGGCCTTCGATGAGGCTATGTTGCCTTCGAGATCAACGTTCAACCGGATGAGAGTGTATATGAAGGATAAGCCACACAAATGGGGAACGAAACTATTCATGCTGTGTTGCTCAACGACTGCATATTGCATCCGGTATGTAGGACGTGCTCTTTGGCACGTCACTTTTTTTTTTGTTGCTAAGTTGGCTTATCATGTACGGTACAAACTAATATTTTTACTATGATGTACGATACAGGTTTGAAGTTTATTGTGGCAAAAAGGAGAGGGCTGGAGGAACAAGTTCTACTGACTACAAGTCCGGCCCTGCAGCCGTCGTGCGCAACCTCCGCGCGGTATTTGGCCCCACGGCTCCTGCAGACGGTTCCATGCGCCTCGTTGTGACAGACCGGTTCTACACGGCAGTGCCGCTCTCGGTTCAGCTGCTTACCATGGGTTTCTACTCTATCGGCACTGTGCGTACCGACCGCTTGGGGCTCAGCACTAAGTTGATACCGAAAAAGCAGAAGGGTGACAAAAAGAAGCCGCCTCAGATACCGAAGAACCGACCATCAAATATTGAGAGAGGCACGTACTCAGTGGCCAAAGCACTCCAAGTTCCTGACATGAAAGTTGTGCGTTGGTGGGATACACGATCGGTGCACATGCTAAGCACAGGTGGAAGTGTTGCGATTGACCGAATAGTACGCCGTGAGAAGCTGACGGGTGGACAACAAGAAGTGGCCTGCCCCCGTATTGTGAAGGATTACCAGACGTACATGGGAGGTGTCGACGTGCACGACCAGCTGCGTCTGCAAAGGTAAAGTGCATCAATATTGTACATCCAAGTTATGGATATATCTAATCGTGTATGATACATGTTGTAGATACTCGCTGCAGCTATGTATCAAGTACAAGAAATACTATAAGTCTCTATTTCTCGGACTCGTTGATCTTGCCATTATCAATGCCTTCATTGTCTACAACGCCAGACAGACTAAGGCAAACAACCCGCAGCTGACTCACGTAAAGTTTTTGAAGCAACTACATCTAGAGTTGTGTCAGCTACGCGAGGAGGACTGGGCGACTTTGCACGACAACGCGTGCTTACAAGTGACACCAACCAAACCGATGCAGCGCACAAATTCTCGCCAAGCCGCACACCAACCTGTGCAAAATGACGAGTGGCGCAGTGGCAACAACCAGCAAGGGCGGAAGCGCCGTACGAGAGCGTGCAAGGTCTGCTCGCTCTTGAAGGGCACCGACAACGCGAAAGGTGGAGATTCGTCGGTATACTGTAGCGAGTGTAAGCTGCCCAACACGTCGAAGAGACCCATGGCTTGGCGGGTTTTCCTCTGTGAGAAGGTTCGTCACACGTACAACGGAGCTGCAATGTCTTGCTTCGACATCTGGCACAAGGCCTGGAGAAACGGAACGCTACTCCTTAAGAGGGCAGTGAAGCGCACGATCCTCGCACGTACACCGGGACGTCGCGAATGCTCGAACGAGGAAAATGATGAGGCTGAGAGTGTCCAGTCGTCCGGAGATGAAACCACGACGAGCGGCTTGCATCACCCAAAGCGGGCTCGCCGCGCTCCGGATGCTGAGATGACTGACTGATCAAAGGCGTCGATCGTAATTTTTTACTTAGGTTTTATATGCCCTCAATATTACGATATTGAACTTGACTGCATATGTTACATTGGTTTAGTTATGTACCAAGCTTGTTCAACCTATGTCCGCCTTACCAGTTCCTGTCACAAATGCAGGTACCGGTTTTGTAGTCTACTATACACGCTAATATGACTGAAGTGTATATCGCTCGTTTTCGGGCCTTCGACAAGTTGAAGGTACAAGATAACAGGAGAGACAGTCTTCCAGGTTTAGGTTTTTAGTGCGGCTATGCACTTTACATGTTAGCAAAGCATGAAGGAATTTATATGGAAGCCCTTCCCCCCACATACACGTTTGAGAGACTAGGGATTCGGTTAAGTTTGCGCCGAAACAGCTCGGGTCTCAAGGGGTTAAAAATGAAATGGACCTATTTTTACTGTACAAAGGACAGTGACTTACCATTCTATGGGCTAAATTTGTTGTGATCTCGGTAGACAGAAGAAAAATTACTACTACAGTAGTATTCTTTTGAATTAAAGCAATTGCAGCTTCGTCTTTCTGGTAACTTTTTGTATTGTAAGCAGCTTGCCATACTGCACCTCGGCCAAGTAATCTTGACTCTAGATTGGGTTCATCGCAATTTAGGAATGATGGACAATATTTTGATGCCAAAATGCTCACTCCACAACTTCAACACACATCTAAGAAAAGCACCTACGACAATCGGGGTCTCCTTTTGCGTTGCGCTCACTAAGCGAACGTTGTACCTCTGGTCGCTGTCCCAAGCTATGTCTACGGCATCTGTAATACTGGCTGGATATATTGTAGCTCACGCTGCGTTAACGCTTAGAGCCGACGTGCACGAATGTTTGGTATCTTATTTCCTAACAGCTTCTGTCAAATAGACTGTTGTACAAGGCCTGGGAATACAATATCAACACTGACGCACAAAATCACTCAGCATATTGACGCAATGTGGAATATCGCGATCCATTGAAGATATTATGGTGTTGGCATCGTACTAATCGAGATTCTACTGAGTTTCGCTGAGTGTTTTCGAGATGTATTATTATCTCTTCAAGATTGACTATCGATGACGCTGTTTCAGTTATATTCGAGCATTTCAACCTTCAAAAATCAACAGCGGGAACTGGTGGTTTGGGAAGAGAGGAGGGAGGGGGGGGGGTAAGGCTTGCGAATACTTGTCGTAGCCGCCCGTGTACTGTGGTATCTTTGGTTGCACTATATCTTTGGGATTACGGGAGGTCGGGAATGCCATTTGATTACGAGAAAGTACGCCAGCAAGTCAAAGACAGAATG